ATATAAAAAAGCTACTTAGGGTTTTTTTTTTCAAATCTACGAAAAATCTTAGGGGATAAATGCATATATAGTTGTTATTGTTATTTCTATAATCATTAGCATTATTTTTTGATTCAAACTAGTAATATCGATCTTAATAAAAGAGTTTTTTTTTTTTTTCCTCATTAACTTTTTCGAAAACCCAGTCTTTCAGCGTCACCTGACGGTGATTGGTTAATATTTCGTAAATCGTGGCTTCGTGTTGAAATGAAATTTCGACGCATAGTTTATGAACGTACACACCGCAATTTGGATATAGGATCCGTGGTATAGGTCGAGCTGAAATAATGCCGGAGATGCGTAGCATATTGTTCATTTCGAATTCGGAAATTTCGCTGGACATTCGGTCATCATATTTGAGACCTGCGCATAGGAGAATCGTTAGGTTTTACGAGATGACTACAAAAACCAAGCCCCACGGTTCAAAAATGAAATATACCAGAGTTGAAGACTTTGTGCACGTGTCCCAGAAAGGTGTGAGAAACGAATTCTCCTATAACGTAGTTTCGATTGACTTTGACTTTTCTAGTAACTATTGCCTCCGCAACCAATTGCGCGAAATCAGATTTTATTGATACATTAACGAATATGAATTGATTAGGGCTATTGAACGCAGTAGTGATGGTGGAAATATCGTGAATTAGAATTTCGTCGCTAAATATTCCAACTTGAAATAACATCCACTGCGTTTTGTCAGACGATTCAGAAGAGACAACGAAGGACGATTGCGTGTAGCAGTCTGTCTGAGGAGAAGGGTAAGATTCGTGACTTAATGGTAATGTGTAGTCTATCAGCATTTGATGAAGTCGTGTCCTTGGACACATTTTGTTGCGTACTAGGCTTTCTCTGTTGAATAAGAGAACGATTAAAGGTGAAGATTGACAAGCGCAATTGTAACTCAGTAAACTTACAACTCCATTCCTGAGTCCCAAGCGACGAACAGAACAACATTTTGTCGAACACATGCGGCGAATAGTTTCTCTTGCTTCTCAAACTCATGATAAAGCATGCTGATCACGATAACAGCATCTACGTGTCAACAAGTTAATAAACGTGCGTGCGTAAAGTGGTAGGTGCACGAGCATTCAGTTATAATGGAATTTCGAAATTACTTTTTATGGTAACCTCATAGTCTGTCGCCTTTTCCCAGACTCCGCCTATTGCATTTACGTTTGCACCTATAAACGTTTCTTTGACGTACTACAGTATTAATCATTGGGATTATGTTATTCCATCAAATGTTAAATCACATGATCCAAATTCAAAAAAAACTTAGTTTGCGTACTTGCGATTGCTCATTAGAAACCAGGAGGTGAACTTTCGTCGCGCCTTTTTCATGTAGATTTGAGGTTATCAAAGATATTAGTTGGATATCCTCGTTGCAAATAATGTAGATATCGGTATTTGATATATCAATGATTGCCATTTGTGATTTTGGTAAAGGAAAGAATAGTAGTGGGTTTTTTCTTACAGTTATATGTACTCGTAAAAGAAATCAATATGAATTTTCGACAGAATCGTATTGTATTATTACGTTTTTATTTTTTGTCATTACACGAGAAAGGATTTCACGATTCTCTTGTACGAGATTCTTCCGATGAATATTTTATTTATACCTGCCAGCTTGATCATTTGTCATATTTCCATTTGCAAACGATGATTAATCGCGTAAATAAACATTGAAAAAAATTTCTGTGGATTCGAGATCATTGGGTCCATAATTAAGTTCGTATTTATCCGCAAAACCAATCAGGTTAACACCCTTTAATAATTAGTTCATTGATTACCGTAAAATTTAGAGTCGAAGGGGGTTTTTTCTTAATTTTGAAGAAATTACCATGTGTACCCAATGCGTACAATTCTGGGCACGTCTTTTATTTACTTTCTAACGAATCAATCTAATTGGGTGGAGTAAAAATTTGACCGTTCCATATACTGCAACCTGTTGTTTTTTTCACCTTAATAAATGTAATAGGTTTGTCCATTGTAAATGACTAATATAGTTGGCAATGTGAAATCGGATAGGTAAGCTAATTTTCATTGGGAATACACATTGTTTCTCAGATTCAATTATAATGTGTAATGTTCTCTCATAACTTCGATTATTATACTGCATATATATGGCATATACTGTATAATATTTATTATATGGGTAATTATTTTCGAAGGCGGACAGGGAGTTTTAGAAATTTATATTGATGCGTATATACAATATTAATTCCAAAAAATAGATCTAGTCTAAAATTTATATTGTATATATTGTATGTATGCAAATGTCGAAAAAAAAGTATCAATACTTATACTTACTATTATATTACGTGCGAAACATGATAATTATTCTGCGGAATCAACTTTATTTTAATATAACATATATTAAAAATTTTATTTATATAAATAATAAGTACCTATTTGTTAATATAATTTACAATTTTTATAATGATTAATTGTTTTTTTTTATCAATAAAAAATACAATTAATTAAAAATAACAAAAGATTTACATGGAAAAAATAGCTGGACCCAAAATCATATACAGTATATTATCCTTATACTTTAGATTTTATTTTATATCATTATTAAAATCTTTTTTTATTGAAATAGAAAAATTAAAAGTTTTTTCTATTTCAACATGTTATTTATAATTAAATTATAAATATTATATTAAGATTCAATATATAAATAAATATAAAATAAATATTATTATAAAAGAATTGAATTTTTTTTTTAAAAAAAAATCTGTTATTTTTCAAAAATATAAATATTTGAATTATTTTATCTTTAAAAAATTATTTTGACAATATATTAAAATATCTATTAACAATAATTTTTTTTATAATTTTTATAAATTTACAAATAAAGAATTAAAAGTTAAACCATAATTTATAATTCCAAAAGATAAAAAATTTTATTTTTGAAAAAATCAAAAAAAAGTAAAAAATTTATACTGATAAATAAAAATTATTTAATATTAATCTTCAATTTAATTATTTGTATTTAAAAAATTACTTAAGATATATTTATAACAAAACTTATTGTTTAAAAGCTTATTATCAAAAGTAATACTTTGTTATTGTTTAATCTTATTATTTGATTATTATTTTAAAATAATTATTAATAAAAGAAATTTTTTATTGAACTAAAATAAAGTTTTTTTTAGAAAAAAAATTAATACAAGAAATATATATATATATATCTATATATCAAATTATTTTTTTAACAAAAATAATATTTCTTTATTTTTTTTTTATTGTAATAAATAGTATTATCAGATTTTTATTACACAAGATAAACATATAAGAACTATATATCTTGTTTATTTTTTTTTGTTATATATTGATTAATTAATTCAAATTTTCAATCAATTATTTTTTAAAAATTTTTGATAAAATTTTTTTAAAAAAATTGAAAAAAAGTTTATACTGTTTGTTTAAAAAAATAAAAAGAAGTTTCAAAACTTAAGTATTTATTCTTTTTGAAATCTTGATATATCTGATTTTAATATTATTAAAAATATTTGAAATTATTAAAAGTTAATATTCAAAAGCAAAAAAAATTACTAAAGATTACAAATAAACTCAAAACTGTTTTAAAAAAAGAATGATTAAAATTCAATGTCAATTTTAGAAATTATCATGAAGAATTTAAGCAGTACTGTAAGTAAATAAAGCAGTAACAAAATATTGATAGTTATATAAAAAAATTTTTATGTATATAGTATATTGTATAAATTAAATAAATCAAATAACAAATAACAAATTTCTTTTTATGAAAATCGGGCATCACTTTCCGTGATAACTGTACGTAGCACGATATACAGTAATTAGAAACAAGTTTTTATTAAAAAATCTCAAAAAATTATACTAGGTTTTTTTGTTGTCTTCTAAAATAATTACTCTTGAAAAAAATTTTTTTAAAATACACACGTAATAAAAAATTATTTTATAACAATTATAAATCTTATTAAACAATAAACAATAGTAATAATAATAAAATAATATGAAAGATGTTAAATTTATCCAAGTCATTATTTAACATTAATAAATAATCGATAGATTCGAGAATTCGAAATCAATTTTAATAGATGTCATTTAACCCATGATACAGTACTTTATTGCTTCGCGTGATTCTTTAGGTGTAACGTGACTTACATATTAAGTGTTCAAATAAATAAATAAAAAGTAGCTTTTCACTCTTTTGCAAATTTAATATCAGAGCCACCGGACATTCGTAACAATAATGTCAACATTTCTTTGAAACCATTCTCTCGGCGATATGTTCATTTGGAATTCGCTAACTAATTCATTTTTATATGATTTCTCGTGCAGCCACATTATTGGCCAAAATAAAACGCCAAGAAAGGAGAAACAACAAATGTTCTGCATCCAATCATTGTTCCTAGCGAATCTTGTCACTCCATCATCGGCACATACTCTGACTACGTTATTTCTACTAGGGTATGAGATCCTGATTTGACGCCGATACCCTTGCTGACGGATGGTTGATACTATGACTTTTGTTATGGTCTCATAGTCCCAATTGATTACCTTTAGGTGAAATGTAAGGTTTCGTTAAGTTTTTATATATGAAACAAGGTGGCCAGACCATATTCACATACAAACCTTTCTCATCTCAATACCTTTCCACACGCTATCTCTTTGAAGATACTCTTCTAAAGCTTGTATGACATTACGATTAGGTGTATTCTCAGTGGGAACGGCACGAATTTCACCGTGCGATGAAACATATTCCGTTAGATCTAATGTGAACCTGAAATCCATGATTTCTATATTTTTCCTATGTTTACCATTTCCATGTCCATGAATACGATATCCTATGGGAATTATGAGAGGATCGTAAGAGTAATTAATTTGATTGAAAAGAAATGAATTCCCAGACCTACCTTGAATTATTATGGCCATTTCCGGTTTGTCATTATGTTCAATGAAAAATTCAAATAGTGATCCCAAATCTTTATTCAACCTCGAATCCGAAGAACTGACTCCATCCTCTAACAAATCAAACTCGACTTCTGGAACTCTAAAATCCGTCAAATCGTCCCTCAATATATTGAGCTCATTGATCTGAGGAGAATCCATCGTTGAATGGTACATTGAATTTAGTGGGTCACCATTTATCCTTTCGCTCGTATTTTTCAATAACGGTTGTCTTTCGTTTGTCCCTTGTATAGGTCGGGAGTTTAAAGAGATCGGCGATTGAAATTGATTCAATGAATGTACTATCGATTCTTCGTAACTTGGTGGTGGGTTAATGCTATTTTCATCATTATTTACATCGTTATCTGATATTGTATAAGATATTGATTGGTTACTTTGTCGATGAGAATAGTTCGAATTATCACCAACTTCCGAATCAATCGAGAATTCGTTACTTTGAGTCATATTTTTTGAGTGTTGCAAAATGTTCTCCCACCCATATTTTTGTCATTTTATAACAATTTTAATGTACAAAAAAAATAATGCGTATTGAATAGTATTGTTGCATCTAAAAAGACAATAAAAGCCACGATCAAAATCATATGTACTCTAAATTAGGAAATTTGTTGATTACGATGATATCATTTTACCAGGGGTCAAGGAGAATCGAAAGTTTTTTTTACAATTGTTTTTAGTCCCCACTGATTGCCACCGGAATACAGTATTTGTTTGTTCATATTAACTTTCTTATTGCTAATTTGAGAATTATACGTAAAGAGAAGACACAGTGTTTACTAGTTGCAAATGTAAATTTAAATATAAACTTTTTTAAAAGTTTTTAAGGTAATACAGTAATTCATTTTTATACATTATAATCCAAAAATGTGTTTACATAGATCATTGTAAAAATTAAATTCAAAATTCAAATGGTCATAGTTTATCAACGTAATCAGAAATAACAATTTATTGATTTTAAATAATATTTATAAATTAGCATCTTTAATGTAAACCAATTATAATTAAATGGTTTTTAAATTTTTAAATTGTATATATTTCTATAATACATATATTATTAAACAAAAGACCTGTGGGTCTATAGTGTAGTGATTAACATTTCACAGGTCAAATCACAAGATACCAGTTCAACTCCATGTGAGGGCAGTTAAATAGAATTAATATGGTATCTGGTGCCATAACCTGTATAAGTGTTGTTTCTCATGAGAAGTCATTTCACATGCTAATCCAGCAGATGTTGAGATTGTGATTTCCAGAAAAGGTGTCATGGCATGACGATTGTCGGGTTGGTGTTACAATGATCGCTGGAAGTTGTAAGGTATATGAGATGTTCGCTTTCAGTAAAGATAGCTTGATGATCACTTTCCTGTGATACCTGGTGTCTCTTCCTGCAAGTTTCCAGAAAGGTCTTATTCCAATCCAGTAATAGATTGCTTCGACAGTTACCTATTCCAAGAAGGCAGCCAAAACAGTAGTAAGTATCAATAGCTAAAACAATCTATGGACTGTAAGTCTGTAAGATAAGTTCCTTGAATGTTCTTGAGTAGCTCTAGGAAGGTAAAAATTAAATAATATGCCTATCTGCAGGTAGTCGGGTTTAGAAGGATTCTCTTTGCAGTGATTCTATTTGCCAAAAATAGGTACTACCCCCAGTTCTTCACATTTAAACTTCTCCTTAAAAACTCCACAGTACCAAATAGAACACAACAATATAATAATAATACTAATAGGGCTTTGGCACATTAATCTCAGCACAACTTCTCTGAAGTGATGCTGACAGTAACAAGCTGATATAAAGTAAAATTGATATAGTCTAGTGATACGTAGAATTGTTTATAGATAATAGTTTCTATAATATATAAAATACATATGTGAATAAAATAATAAAGTACGCTAGGCAAGGCCCAGCTGGTTAAACTTAAAAAAATATATATATATTATTAAACAAAAAAAAAATCAATTAAAAAATGTTTAAAAATCTAAAAATTTATATAACTTGTTTTAGAATTTTTTTTTTTTTGTAAATAAACATCATTTCTTTATTTAATTTGTATAATGATATATATACATTGTAAAAGAAACAACATCTCCTACGTGTAATAGTACAACGAGTTAAATGCTAGCTTGTCTTGTTTTAGAATTTATTATAGTTAATCAAAAATAATTGTTATATATGTATTAAATCTTTTTATTTTTTTAATTTTTTGTCAAAATTTTAACATTTACTTGATTTTTATAACTATTGTTTTAATAAATAATTTGATATTAACAAATTTTATTAAACATATTTTAAAGTATTTAAATATTAAGTTTTATAAATTTTTATTTAATAAAATATATAGTTTTTTAAAAATAATAAAATATTTAAAAATTATTATTATTATTATTATTATTATTATTATTGAATAAATAAATAACTATTTAATATTTCGCTGATCCTTTTGCCAATACAAAAAAAACAGACGTTTCAAGGAAATTTTATATTTCCTTGTAATAAAGTCTATATACTTTTATTAACAATACTCATATCAAGAAACAATAGCCTCCCCCACTTGTTTCTTTCTCTCTTTGACATAAACTTCCTATATTTTTGTAAGTAAATACAAGAAATATCTACTTACAAAGTTAAAGGCAAGAAAACTTTGCTAGGAAAAAGA